ATTTTCTTTAGGAAACCCTTTTTTTGAAATATATTTCCATTTCCTTTTTAGTCCCCATCACCCTTCACCAGCCTTCAGAGCCTCGGGTTGGGGTTAAAACACCTTTTCGTATTATTTTAATTATTGCTTTCCCAGCCCCACTCCTTTCCTGTTTCCCCCTCCTCTTTTCCCCTAACGGCGCTGTTCTGCAAAGCCTGGAATGATTGATATGATGGCAGTGCTGTCATTCTTTTTAACCAAAAAAAGGTCATTTTTGTTCTAGTTATTTTAATAGAGTCCCATTAAAGATGTATTGCTGACTGAAATATCGGCATGAAGGGCTCTCACTGAGCTGAGCCCAAGAATTAAGAAGTCAGGAAATCGGCTGCTGCATTGCAAGAGAGCCTTGTGTGACACCGAATCTCCTGATTGGGGAGATCATTACTGCTATTATGACTCGACTTGCGTAGGAATTTTAAATTCCATCTGAATGTCAGTAATAACCCTCTTAGCAAATTATCCTGAATAAAATCACGAAGGCATTTTATATAATAGGTGTTGAATTACTGGATAGATTTGCTAATTAAATACTCTTTGTTCTGCTGCAGTTGACATTACAGGGTAAGATCTTGAACAATTATTCTCAACAGCTGTACTTTGTTAAGGGAAAAATTAACCACAAAGTTTATTTTTTTACACTTGAAGTTGGCAGATTTTTGAAATGTGCTTGAAAAATTCCATCATCCAATTGGTAATGAGTAGATAAATATGCAGGTGTTGCTGTGAAATCAGATAACTGCAGACTGCCTTATTAATGAATTTAGCAAGCCTTTGTAGCCCTGTTTTCTAGCTGTTAGCACTTACAAAATGATTTTCTGTCAGAATGGGAGCTTTAATATTAGGCTTGTCACTTTAAAGTGAACTTATGAGCGGTCATCTTGCAATCACCGTACCTTGTGTCTAGTAGACCTTTCTGAATACCTGTGGCTTTTTTGTAAAATGCATTTCCTAATGGGGAAAATATTTGTAATGCATGTTTTTGATTGTTGCCTTCCAGAAAATTTATGTGGTGTAGGCTTTTTAACAAGGCAGTGAGACACAGTGAAAAGAAAAAGAAACATGAGATCCAGCTAGGAGATCAAGTTCTTGACTTTATTACTTTGGGCAAAATTGCAGAGCCTAATTTTCCTCCTCTGTAAAATGGGGCTTATAATACCGCCTACCCTTAGAATTATATATTTGGCATTCTACAAATATTCATTAATAGCTACCGTGTATTAGGCCCTCTGCTAGATCTTGAGATGTTGGTAATCCACTGGCTACCCAACAGCTGAGCCTTCCCCAGTGAGCAGTTTGAATTGAGGGCAGCTTTGCGGTGATCCTGCTCATTAGCACTTGGACTGAATAGGGCACTGTGGTAGCCACCATCTAGAACTGCTTAGTGAAGAAACACGAGAAGTAGCGGTCAGCCTGGATGTGGGTTGTCTGGCCTAGGATGGACTGAAGAATTGACAAGCTGTAGAGAGGACTTTGAACTTGAGACATCATTGTCTTTAGTTGCTGTTGAGGTTCACTGGAAAGATGGTGATTAAAACTATCCACAGAAATTAGTACAACCTCTGTGGAGAGCTATTTGACTATATTTATTTAAAAATTTTGAATATATAACCTTTAACCCAATAAGTCTTCTTGTAGGAGTTTATCTTGTTACTGGCATATTGGCAGGTTCTACATGTGTGATGATTACTTGTTGAAGTGTGGTTATAAAGGAAAAGATTAGAAATAACATACATGTTCAGTAATAGAGCACAAATTAAGTCATGATCAGTTCATACAATGGAATACTATGTAGTCATTAAAAAAGAATAAGGCAGCTCTTTATGTGTGGGTATGGAATAAGCTCTAAGGTAAAGTGTTAGGTGAAAAAAGAAAAGCAGTGGTTAGTTTTCTACCATTTCTGTGCAAAACATCCACCAAGAGGTTTCTGCCAGTAAAGAGAAAGCCATTTTGGTAGCAGCCCTCAGATTGTGAGTGGAAATGGTTGTGAGTTGTTGGCGGGACAGAGTGGGGTGGGTGATGGTTTGGTTCATGGCATCAAGGAAGAGTAGAAGCAATTGGCTACTGCATATGCAGAGTTGCAGTGAAAGGTTGGCAGATTGTCCCTGAGGTATTTTACTTGGTACGTAACAGTTCCTTTGTGGAATTGTCCCTTGTGATGAGGAAAGCTAAGCCTAGCAGGGTGGAAGGGGCAGAGGATGAAGAGAACTCATGATAAGTAGTTCTGTCCTCACTGTGATTAACTTGACTCAGGTGGATCTCATTATTGCCCTTTTCCAACCAATGCTTTCCCTGTAATTTAAATATTAAAAAATGAAGATGAAGTGGAGGAGAGTGATTGTTTTTTCTGAGTTAAGTGAATTTTAATGTCTAGTAGAAAAGTAATTGGGATTACTGTGAGACCTACCAATCAACTAGCAAATAATCTTGTTTTTGTTTTTTTTTAAAAAAATGTTCTTATTGATTTCAGAGAGAGGAAGGGATAGGGAGAGAGGAATAGAAACAATGATGAGAATCATTGGTTGGCTGCCTCCTGCACGCCCCCTAGTGGGGATCAAGCCTGCAGCCTGGGCTCTATCAAACTGACCTTCTGGTTCATAGGTTGACACTCAACCACTGAGTCACACTGGCCCAGCTAGCAAACAGTCTTATGTGACTATTACATGTGAAATCTGGTGTTAGGCACAAACATGTCCGCTGACCACTAAAAGCTTGTGGTCTAGTTGGGGCGTGGACTAAAAACTGTTTCCAGAATGGCATTACCATGATTATCTTGAGCCAGTGGTCCTTAACCCCACTTGCAACATAAGAATCATCTTGAGAGCTGTTTAGAAACATTGCTGGCACCAGTTATTGGTATTTTTTAAAAAGATTCCCAGGTGATTCCACTGTGCAGCCATTATTAAAACCACTGGTTAGCCTAATCAGTATTACCACTACCCCCAGGGCAGGGGAAGGGCTTCCTGCCCTAAGAACATAGGACAATGAATGAACAAAATTGGGAGACAGTAATGGAGGAGGGGCGCGAAGGAAATGGAAAGTAATGGGTAGATATAAAAGATATTCTAAGGTCAGGATTTATAGGGCTTTGTAATATGAAGGATAAGAAAGACAGAAATATGAGGTTCGAGCTTAGTTGACAGTGAGGACTATTGTGGATAGAAAAATAAATATAAATGAAGTAAGTCTATCTGGCCCATTGGAAAAGTGACTTCTGGTTTAAACCGATGCTTTGAAAAAATGGGCGGTAGTGAAGAGAAAATAGCCTGGAATGACTAAGGCCCCATATTCTGGAGTCAGAGTACTTGGGTTCTTATCCTTGCTCTGTCACTTACTGGGACAAATTATTTCCTCTTTTTTTTTGCATCTAACAAATGGGGATATTAATAGTGGTTACTTCTTGGGGACCTTGAAGAATAACATGAGAAAATACACAAGATGCTTGTAGTAGAGTATCTGCCCCCCCCCCACACACACACACATTCTGGGTGCTCATTATGTTATATTACTTTTCTTTTCACATGGTATGATATATTTTCTTTATTTTATTTTATTTTTTAAAATATTGGGGTGACATTGATTCACAAAAACCATACAAATTTCAAGTGTACAACTCAATAAAACATCATCTGCACACTGCATCATGCACCCAACGCCCCAAGCAAAATTTATTAAATTTGTATTACTTCTGATCTGGTCCCTGATAATTTATATCTGTTTTGGTACATATCCACATTATAACCTATATGTGTCTAATCTTATAGCTATACAGGCCTTGGGACAGACCTTTCTACAGATATTATCTATATGATTGTCTTCATTCACTGAATGTTTATTGAGCCCCACTTCTGTACTATCACTATGCTAACTTCGGGCCTATAGAGAAGGTCTACTTTCTGCCTTCAAGAAATTTACTGTAGAGAAGAAATTTAAATCTAATATGTATTTTATATATATATATATTGCTTTTACTTTTTAAGATCCTGAATACTATGAGTAAGAATTGGCAGATTTGAAATGCTCTGTCACAATTTTTTTTCAGCCATGCAGTTCTATTTAAATATTAGTAAGGAGAATAGTTTGCCTTTTTGCCATATTCTAAAGGGATACAGTCAGTTCTTGAATAATGTCATTTTGTTTGTCGTTTCATTATAACACTGGTGAGAAAAAAATCTTCCCAGTTGGGGCCACTGTCTGTGTGGAGTTTGCATGTTCTCCCCATGTCTCCCACATCCCAAAGATGTGCATGTTTGGTGAACTGGCATCTCTACATTGTCCCAGTCTGAGTGAGTGTGGGTGTGGGTGCGAGTGCACCCTGCGATGGAAAGACGTCCTGTCCAGGGTGGGTGCCCACCTGTGCCCTGAGCTGCCAGGATAGGCTCTGGCCACTAATGACCCTAAGCTGGAATAGGCCGGATGGGAAAGAATTATCTTATTTGTTTTTATTTATCTTCCTTAAATGTATGTGTAGCTCATCTTTATTTCAATGTTTACCATTAAAAGTGTTTGGGTGTTTATTTAAAAGTTTGGTGATGTTTTTGTGACTGTAGGAAATATGATATAGGAACTTAACTCTTGTTTATGTTAATTAGCCTATGGCTTCCTTATATGTTGTTTCACCCAAAGTCGCAGTTCCCAGGAACCTATCCATGATGTTAAGTGAGGACTTACTGTATTTTTATTATGCATGTTTATTAAGTAGAGATCGTTACATAGATCTGCTTTCATAGAGTTTACATTGATGTTTACAACAGATCTTTTTACATATCTCTAAGAATCAACATAGAGGCAAATTTATTTTTTAGATTATGTTGATATTGTTATTTTGAGAATTATAGTTAGAAAATGACCAAGAGCTTTAAAAATATATGGAAATAACATCATCGGGCTACTTATCTATGTGTTTATATTTTATGTTTTTGCAATTATGTAATGCATTAATCTCGACTTTCTGTTTCATTTAGATTTTGATGCATACGAAAGAGATGGTACAGAAGGTAATGCTGAGCACTTTCATCATATAACAACTCTTAAACATCATACTTAGTGACATTTTTGTATTCAAGGAAAATTGCAACCCAAACAGACTGGAAATGGCTTCTTAGGATGTCTGGTTTACATTTATAATCCCCCCTAATGGATTATAGCTTTTTTCTTTTACTAACACTGATATGATCTAGCCGCTGCTTGAAGCCTATATGTGAGTGTTTCAAGCAAATTAGTAACAGTGCTAATTAGAGTTTACTTCCTGGCCTTTGTACTGTATGTGCTCTAGTGTTGTTTGCTATGATTGATTTTTTTGGCACTCTCCGTATTCTACTAAATACTGTTTGAAACTGTTAAGAATTTAATATGGATTTGTGCCTCTGAATTTTAAAATCCTATTATGTTTCTGTTCCATAAATTGCCATGACCACTAAGCTTGTGGTACAGTGAGTAAATATAGTCCCCCTTTCCTAGTCTCTTATCCTCCTTTGTATTATTCAGTTACACATTTTGTTTCCATTGAAACTAGACACTTTCCCTGCCATTGTAATATCTGTTTTAAGAAAATTAAGGAGATGTTTTAATGTGGCAGTGTTCACCTTTCTGGTATATTGGGGGTTAATCTTCATTTGTACACTCCTCACAATATGGATAAGAGTAAATATAACCTTTGGAAAAATCCTTGGAATGTGTGATTTCTGTATGGAAAATCTCTAGTTTCATTATGCATAATGGTCACCATGTTTTAGTTGTTAATTTTTATAATTCTTGCTTTTCATTAGATGAATCTTGAAGTTATTTATGGAGATACAGATTCAATAATGATAAACACCAATAGCACCAATCTGGAAGAAGTATTTAAATTGGGAAACAAGGTGAGATAATTTGATAAAATTATCTGTTTTATCGACTTTTGTGAATTATTTTCAACTTGGAACTTCATAAATTCATGTGTATGTACATTGTGTGCTTCTGGAAATAATAAACGTAGTGCCTTCAGTTCTTCATCCTCTTTTATTTTTCTTAGCCTCTTCTCTAATTGTTTTGAGGATAAAAATAAAATTGTTTTTTCCTTAAATGATAGATATGGTTTGCCTTTGAGAACAGTCTAAGTCTGATAAATTTAAGATGTTATCAAGTTAGTACTTATCACAGTGTTATTCATAAGGAGAAATGTCTCTAGTAGTGTTCAGATGCCTTTCATACACTATTTGATATGAATAATTACCTACCTACCAACATGCCTATACACACATCTATAATTTTAATAGGAGTACTTAAAATATATTTGAAAAGATAAGGAGACATTTAAAAATAATCATTTGTAGCCTACTATTTGCAGTTCATAGTTAGCACAATTAGTGTTTCTTGAGCACTTACTATGTTAAAATATTGTTTCAATAAACTAAAAATAAGGTATCATCTTACAAACTAAGACCTTCCTACCTGTCTTCTCTGAAATGTATGAAATTTGAGCTATAGTCTTCGCTTGAGAGTAAGCCTAGCATATTGTACTCATATTGGACCTTGAAAAACTATATATTTTCCCTAGAGGCGATGGTCTGTGCCATGTCCCTATCAGTAATGAGCAGGTGACTGTTCATTTATTTGTTCAGCATATATTTATTTGCTTATATTTAAGGTACTTATATTCAAGGTACAGCGAGATTATAGACATTATTTTAATAGCTCAAGTTTTACTTATTTCTGGACTGTGTAATCTCTAATACAGTAGTTTGAAGGTAAGTACATATGCTTTTAGATTTTAAAAAGACTGTGTCATAATTTTTATAATTCTTGAGGCTGACCCTGCCAGTTCTGTCCTTGTGCTTTTTTTTAAGTGTTCTGCATTGAATCTAAAAATATCATGTTCCATATATGCTGAGTAAATGCATTCTAGTATCATGTGACTTCAAGTTCTGTTTAGATTAACTCCTGGGAATTTGTAGCATGTTCATGTTCTTCCTACTAAATGTTTGAGAATATAATATTAATGATTGAAATTTTCACAGGTAAAAAGTGAAGTGAATAAATTGTACAAACTGCTTGAAATCGACATTGATGGAATTTTCAAGTCTCTACTACTGTTGAAGAAAAAGAAATATGCTGCTCTGGTTGTAGAACCAACATCGGATGGGAATTACGTCACCAAACAGGAGCTGAAAGGATTAGATATAGTTAGAAGAGATTGGTGTGATCTTGCTAAAGATACTGGAAAGTGAGTTCTGCTTTGGTTTTTTATTTTGTTGTTTGTCTTTTAAAAATTCAGGTGTGAATGACATGGACAACACTTGTGATTCTGCCAAGCACAAGGACACAGCTTCTTTTTTCTTATTGTTATTATTGCATATTAATAATTCTTACTTATTTGGAGGGGAGTTTGATACATTTTTAAAAAGCCACACTGGTTCAGTAAGAGATGCTTGCTGTAGAATTCATCTCATGAGTTTTTACTCATGGTGAGGGTAAACTTTCACATTTTGATCCTTATAGAGTTGGTTTTGTTTAATGTTGTTTTGTTTTTGTATGGTTTTGCTTTAATATTCCTATTAGAGAGTGCCATGTATTGTGTTCCTGTATTATCCTAGAACAGTGGTTCTCAACCTTGGCTGCACATTAGAATCACCTAGGAATCTTTTTAAAATCCTGATTTCTGGGCCTCATCCTCCGGAAATTCTGTTTCTTTGTTATGGGGTGGGGCCACAACATTAGTAACAAAGAAACAGAATTTCCGGAGGATGAGGCCCAGAAATCAGGATTTTAAGAAGATTCCCAGGTGATTCTAATGTGCAGCCAAGGTTGAGAACCACTGTCCTAGAACCTTTTAGGAACATAATTGTTAAGGCATCCCCATTTTATGGCTTAAAATGTTCTAGGATTCAGAGTGGACCATGGAGTGAGACTTTGTTCCCACCAATATAATTTGTGTGCAAATATTCTTACCTAAGGTTAATTTAAGAGCTAGTTCTCAAAAACCATATGTCCCTCAGAAATAATACGTACCTCATGAGTGACCCCCTAGCTTTGCACCTGAGACTAAAGATTGTATTAAGACCTGTTTTATTTTTTTATGATCATATTAATTTATAAAACACCCATTTAGAAAATGAATTGTTGGGTACGTTATTTGCCATCTTTCCAGATATTCCAGGTTTGTGATCCTGAGCAATTCTGAAAATAGAAGAATTTTTTTTTCTTGAAAGCGAAATTTTAAATTAATTTTAACATTGCTGAATATCAGCATATTTTACTTGTTTTCCATTCTTCCTCTTGTTTTCAAGTCAGGAGATTGTGAGCAATTGTTGCTTCTGCAAACTACTCTTGATTAGGCAAAGTTGATCATCCAAGTATAGGTCACTGTTAGCCTTTTATGAAATGTAGTTTGAAATGCTTCATTGCCCCCAAATGTACCAAAGATGAAAGTACTTTGTATAGACTGTCGATTAGAGTGTTCTCTTCAGCTTTGTGTTTTCCAAGAAAAGATGCATCATAATAGAAGTAAATTTCTCTGAGTTAGAAATGTATTAGTAATTAAAGCTATACAAATGTTTTTGTCAGGGTTCTTTTTCTGACAAATTATAATGCAGCTGTCAAACCCTCGCTCTGCATTTTTCTCAGAAATGGATAAAATATTGGCTTTCTTACTCCTTTTCGTTTTCTTTTTTTTTCCTTTTTTGTGGGAGTCTGGTGGAATAACGCGATGTTTTTAAGGAATAGTGTAAAGTTAGAGAAGAACACTGAGCAATATAATGAAGCTGAAGAAAGAAAAGTTTGAAATATTTGTGTGTTTTTAAAATTTACATAGAGAGCTGTATATTTCTACTTACTTAGCTAATGATCATCTAAGGCAGAGATGATATCTTGATATCAGAGCTAACATCTTGGTGCTTTATGAGGAAAGTGAAATACTTATCGTCTGACATTTTAACTTATGAGTAGAGTATAACTGCTTTTGAATTTTGTAATTGCTTAAAAATGCAATGGAATATATACCCTTTCTGTCTGTACTTTTGTATGATGCATTAGATGCTGCATAAAAAATTATCTGTATGTCTAAGGGCAAACCTGACATTCCAAGGTTGGTAAACCTTTGGCAGAGTTAATGTTAAAAAACAAATAGTAATGGCCTTTTAGACTTTAACCCTCATGTTAGCTTTTATTACAGTTCTTGTCCACATGTTAATCTATTGGCATTTATCTTTTTTCACCTTTATTAATGAAGTATGATATTTAAAAAATCAGTCCCTCTCTTTTTTTGCAGCTTTGTCATTGGCCAGATTCTTTCTGATCAAAGCCGGGACACTATAGTGGAAAATATTCAGAAGAGGTTAATAGAAATTGGAGAAGATGTGCTAAATGGCAGTGTCCCAGTGAGCCAGTTTGAAATTAACAAGGTAAATGTAGCATTTATTGCTGAGCCCAGCTGTTGCCACGTGTTTTTCTCCTCCTTCAGATAGTTGAAGAACCACCTCATCCTTGCAATTGAAATAAATTTTAGCTGGTGATGAAAGCTGCTTAACAACTATCTCACAGACTGCGCATTAGCATAAAACTTCCTGTTCCAGCCACTGGTACCTCCATGTCTGCTGCAGGGCCTTCTCTCTTCATTCTTATTTTAATTCATGGAAGCCTTCTTCCTAGAGCAGTGGTTCTCAACCTTCCTAATGCTGCGACCCTTTAATACAGTTCCTCATGTTGTGGTGACCCCCAACCATAAAATTATTTTCATTGCTACTTCATAACTGTAATTTTGCTACTGTTATGAATCGTAATGTAAATATCTGATATGCAGGATGTATTTTCATTGTTACAAATTGAACATAATTAAAGCATAGTGATTAATCACAAAAACAATATGTAATTATATATGTGTTTTCCGATGGTCTTAGGCGACCCCTGTGAAAGGGTCATTCGACCCCAAAGGGGTCGCGATCCACAGGTTGAGAACCGCTGTGAGGTTCTGTAGAGTAATATAGTTGATGTTTCAGGGACTAGAGAGTACTGCCTTCTTCATAGTCCTCCTAAGTTATAGTTGTTTGGGGTCAGGCCTGTCAGCTGAGAGAGAGAGAGCATGTGCGTGCGTGCGTGCCTGTAACTTCACAGAAGGTGATCCTTAGAGGTACTGTAATTAAGCAGTTTTTTTAGGACATAACTATAAGTTACACTTTATGGTCAGTCTTAGTTGTTGAAAATAGGGAATACTTTTTTCTTACCTAGTTTGAAAAAATAAAATCCTCATTTATAAGATGTTAGGTTACAGATTTTTTCCATTCACAAAGAGTAAGTACCCTTACATACTTAGAAGCTAATTTTGTAAATACCATTTTAGCAGTTTTGTGATAAATAGAGTTTGTTCTCTAAGTTCATAAAATTTAATTTTAATAAAAGATAATATAATCATTACATTAAATGGAAATTTTAGAATTAAAACTCAGTCATAATTCACTTATGTTAAAAGTAATGCTTGCCCCAATATTTTCAGTACCCACCTGGCTTTGTAAAGTATATGATTGTCTAACCACTATGCTGTACACATGTAACTAATACAAAATAATATAGGATATAAACTAACTTAAAAATAAAAAAATGTATTTTAAAAGAGAAATGCTATCAAAAGAAAAAAAGCAATGCTTGCCATTTTTGCAAACATTTTTACATTGCAGCAATTATAATATTAAAATACTGAAATCTATTTTCACTTAACGTAAGCAATTTTTTTCACATTTTTATATTACCTTAAAAACCATCTTGTATATCAGTGTGTTAATCTTATATTTCACTGATACAACTTTATTTAAATTTTTTGTTTGATTATTTAAATTATTTTTGCTATTGTAAATAACTATATTAAACATCTTTGTCCATTTACCTTTTTGCTATCGGATCAATTACTTTCTTAGTTTAGAATCCTTGAAGTGGAATATTTGAGTCAAAAGATATGAAGATCTGTATGGCTCTTGTCAAATTGCTTTGCAAAAAGGTGATACCAATTGATAATAAGAAAATACGTGCCAATTTCACCACAGATTTGCTTGTATTGATGATATTTCATTGGCGAAGCAGTCATTGGTGATATTTAAATAAAACATTGCTACCATAATGGATATGAAACAAAATTTCACTGTTGGATTTCATTTACATTTCTTTGATTTCTAGAGAGAATGAATATTTTCTGTGTATGTCCTTATGATTTGTATTTAGTCTTAGGTAAGTCACTTGTTCATTACACTTTGACCCGTGATATCTTTAGTCACAAAAGAAGACATTCATTTATACATAAAAATATTGAATTATAAGAGAATGTGTGCCTTGGCACTAGCTCTTCACTTTAAGTGATGCAATGGCATGGAACCACTTGTGACATCTAGAAAATGGTTTCTTTTTAGATTTTGTTTTGTCTCTCTCTCAAAAATTTGAATTGAGTAAGAGTTATTACTTCAATCTGCCTCTGATCAATTTTAGCATCTATTCTGCAGACTGTCTCCTTGACACTGTCTACCTTCTTAGAAGTGTGTGATTCCATGAGTTTGGAAGGCTCAGTCTAAACATGAATACATTATTGGCAAAATAACACTGAGCACATGTCCTCTAGGGTAGTGGGCCCACACCATCATCTCATATGAATGATGAGACAGTATTACTAGTGTGCAAAGAAACCTGGAGTCTAAACATACTGGCAATCTTCGAGTTCTCATGAACAGTCTGCAGTTTTGTTATTTTAAAGTTTTTATTATTGAAAATTTTAAAATTTTATATAGAAGTAGAGTGGTATCATGAACCCCCATGTACCCGTCATTCAACTTTGATAATTATCAACTTACAGTGATACATTATTATCATTAACTAGATGCCCGGTGCACGAATTCGTGCACCAGTGGGGTCCCTCAGCCTGGCCTGCGGGATCGGGCCAAAACTGGCTCTCTGACATCCCCCGAGGGGTCCCAGATTACGAGAGTGTGCAGGCCAGGCCGAGGGACCCCACTGGTGCACGATTGGGGCCAGGGAGGGATGCAGGAGGTTGGCCAGCTGGGGAGGGACCCAGGGAGGGCTCCAGGACGTGTCCTGCCTATCTCGCCCAGTCCCAATCAGCTAGATGCCAGCAGCAAGCTAACCTACCGGTTGGAGCGTCTGCCCCCTGGTGGTCAGTGCACGTTATAGTGACTGGTCGACCGGTCAACTATCTGCCCCCTGGTGATCAGTGCATGTCATAGCAAGTGGTTGAGCAGCCTTAGCATATCATTAGTGTATTACACTTTGGTTGAACGGACGACCAGACACTTAGCATATTATTAGGCTTTTATTATATACAATAACAGTACTTAGTGTGATGGAGCTGTGCATACTTTTTTTCCTCTGGCAGAACTGAAACTGACTTACTGTCTGTCTATCCTCCATTTCACTTGAAGTGAGCTATAAAAGAACTCATTTGCTTATTTAATCATCTATTCATCAAACATGGAGTACTTCTTATGTGCACAGTACTAGATTCTGGGTTATAAAAGTGAATGAGCAAAGCATGGTCTATATTTTCAAAATGTTAATGGTCTCCTGAAGATATTTACTGTCCTCTATTTTTATACTTATTTTTCAAAACACAATGCAATATACAGAATTGTATATCTGAAACCTATATAATTTTATTAACCAATGTCACCCCAATAAATTCAATAAAAAAGAATTTCTGCAGATATAAGTACAATAAATTCTAATGAAAGGACTCTCTATTTAATAATTATTCCTGCAGCGGTTCTCAACCTGTGGGTCACGAACAATGAAAATACATCCTGCATATCAGATATTTACATTACGATTCATAACAGTAACAAAATTACAGTTATGAAGTAGCAACAAAAATAATTTTATGGTTGGGGGTCACCACAACATGAGGAACTGTATTAAAGGGTCGCGGCATTAGGAAGGTTGAGAACCACTGACGGTAAGCTGTTTATATGTCAGAGGTGATTTGTCCTGATTAACATTTGTCTGAATATTTATACTATTTAAAACTTGTGAGCATTTCAGTTTTTGCATTTTATCTCTTTGAAAAAGCAGTGGAATAGAAGAGTCTATGTATATGACTGATTGTGGATGGTCTTATTACAGGATGGATAGATAGATAGATATAGATATAGATATAGATAATAAAAATTTCAGTAGCTATAGATGATGCTGGTAGGAGTTGAAAATGGGAGGTTAGCCTAGGGTGGAGGGATGAAGTAATATTTACCACTATAAAATTTTAGCCCTTGTTGCCACAAACAACTGATTTTCTGAACTACTGCAATCTTAGCTTAAATATATTTCATAAAGTAACACAAAATGTGACAGTTGATTTTTATAGTCCTGGCTAATTTGAGCCTAAACCACCAGAAAGCATTTTCCCCCCAAAATCAAGGCACCTAAAACTAGCTTGTAAAACCCCAATAGTCCCAATTTAATAATTGGAAAGTATGTCAGATGAAATTCAGAATTTCTTAACATTGCACTGAAGTATAGTCAATTGGAGAAGATAATGGTTTTCTCAAGTAGAGTTATATTGATTAAGATTTCTAGGCACTATTACCCAACTGAGTCAATCAAGACTTCGCATAATTCAAGTTTGAGGAGATTCAAATACTTGGAGAGTTTCCTAGGCACTCTCCTACACTGAGCGTCTGATTTAGAAAGTGTATATAATGTGGGTATGTGCAGCCGTGTTTGAGGACCTGCTTTATTCTAATCTACTGTAACAGTTCTCAGATTTCCTAGCCTCAGGACACCTTCACACTGAAAATAATTGAGGCCTCTAAGAGCTTTGGTTTATGTGGTTTGTGTTGATATTTACTGTGCTAGAAATAAAAACTGAGAAATTTTAAGAGCGTTTATTAATTTATTTAACAGCAATAAGCCCATCATGGGATTACAAAAATAACATTATAAAATAACTTTTATTTTATTTTTTTTAAATATATTTTATTGATTTTTTACAGAGAGGAAGGGAGAGAGATAGAAACCCAGGTACATGCCCTTGACCGGAATCGAACCTGGGACCTTTCAGTCCACAGGCCGACGCTCTATCCACTGAGCCAAACCGGTTTCGGCAAAATAACTATTTTAAAACAAAAACAAATTAGCCAGAGGAGTGACATCATTTTACAATTTTGCAGATCTTTTTAATGTCCAGTTTAGGAGAATACATCTGGATTCTCATGTGCTTGCACATCCAATTTGTTGTTATGTGTGGCTTAGGTTGAGTATAGGAAGAAAATCCAGTTTCCACAAATATGTTGTTGGAAAAGGGAGATGTATTTCAGTAACTTTTTTCAGATAATTGTGCATATTCTTCTTTGATTCTACACCAAGACTCTCTAAGTAGTGTTTTTTAAAGGTTATTTATAATGTGGAATCTGAAACCATGTCAGTGAACTTTGCATACTCTCTTACATTAAACTCTATTGGTCTGTGTTGTACTTTGATTGGCTATTTTACCCGTGCATGACATTATGCTTGAACTTAGTGAATTAATTTAGAGTGAGTGACATCATTTATCCTGCAAACATTTGGTTGCTACTGTACGTCAGGTATCATTCTGAGCACTGGGAATGCAGCTGTGAGTAAGGCTGGCGTGTTCCTGCTCTCCTGGCGCTTACTTTCTGTTAGAGACTCATCATTTTGCCTTTGTAGAGCTTAAGTTGACAGTGGGAGTAAATCCAGTGATTTATGGTACCTTTGGGATTTAATTTAGGCTAGAAAAGCTTTTGAGAAACACATCCGTAAGTCAGAGTAGCTGTTATCCATCATCCATCAGTCCTAACTGATCAGTTAATTCAGTGAGAGAATCGCAAACATTAGGAGAAACTCTAAGATTGAATTTATAGTCTTATTTTTTTATGTGTAAGTATTATGTGTCATAGCCCATAAACTTGTATTTCTTTTTTTTTTTTTGTCAAGGTTGCATCTGGTTACATTAGTTACTAAATGCAGGAGGATGGAATGTCTAAAGATTCTGTGACAGTGTTTTCTACATATATCTTCTGTCATTTCTATGTTTATGTATGATTCTAGCAAAGATGTATTAGTGTATAGCTGTGTGAGAAGGGTTTTATTTTAAAGTTTGGGGCATTTTGTTCCCTCTTTTTCTTTTTTAGGCATTGACAAAGGATCCTCAGGATTACCCTGATAAAAAAAGCCTACCTCACGTACATGTCGCTCTCTGGATAAATTCTCAAGGAGGCAGAAAGGTGAAAGCTGGAGATACTGTGTCGTATGTCATCTGTCAGGTAAAAATATCATAATTAAGACTCATACCACTTATGACACAAAGTAAAATCCAAATGGCCACAATGTCTTATTTTAATAGTCTTTAAGATAATTGATGCTGTCAAGAGATGGTTTAGTCTGATTGGTTTTACAGCATTTAAAAACAGTCAGGATATGGCATATTTTATTAAAATTTTTGCAAAACAAAGACGTGTATTTTGGGTCACTGAAATTATTTTGGTGAGACAGGTATATGACAGTAACTACAGTTAACTTCAGTAAAAATATATATAGGTTTGGTCATATGTCCAGCAGCAGTCATTTATCATTCCTTTTGCCACAGTTTCCATTATGAATATTGGTAGAATAAGAGAGTAAATGCGTTTTCCCTAGCCTTTGTTCAAAGAATTATTTGAAAGAAATACAAAATGCATAATTATATGGAGAAAGGTGAGATATCCTAAAAATATACCTTATCAAGAAAACACAAATTTACCAGTTTCCGGTTTTTTTTTTCCTTTCTTTTGAGTGGAGTGGGCCTAGAACCCACCTTCTTTCCTTCTCCCTGTTTCACAAGGCAACTCTGAGGAAACTCTAGGCCTTATAGAGCACAGCTTGACACCACTGACTGGTTTCTTTTGAGAGTAGCATGCCTCTAACAATTAGGGATGGGGAGAGACGGTAGGACAGAAGAGCAGTTCTTTTCTTTGAAAACACTTCAGTTGGAACAAAGGAGAGGTCTCAGGTCTCATTCCTTCTCTCTGTAAAAAAAAAAAAAAGCCAGTCATAGCCTTTATCCAGATTCTTTAAAATGATTATGATCTGGCCTATCTACCAAAAGGCATAATTCATTTGAATAAGACTGCTGCTTTTAAATTAATTATTGCATGTGTTGTTACAGTAAGAAGTTTAGATAAGCCTTAAACTTCATTGCAATAGCATTGATCTTTGTCGAACTACACTCAGTGTGTTTTTAAATCATAGAGTCTTTTCAAAATTTAAAAGTCATTTGCTAATATCTGCTCAGTACTGTAGATGATGTACATAACACATGATTTAACTACATGGACAGAAATCGGCACTTGACTCTGTCTCCCTCCTAGGGTTACCCTTGATTAAGAACTGTTACAGAAAACCAATTCCTGCAGGAAAATATTTCCATAAATGTCTGACTCGCTCAAGCCCTTAATGTGCTTTGCATATTGCCTCTAACAAATCTCATCTCAAAAAAACAATTTTCATATTATGCAAGTAAAGATTTTGGTAAATAGGCCAGTTTTTTTATTATTGTCTTCACATACTTGGAAAAGCTCTTAGATTATTAATGAGAGGAGCAATATGGCAGCATATAACTTTAAATAGCACCTAATAATGAAATCCAGCCACAGTTACGTTTTGGCTAAAAGTAGAATGGAGACGTATGGTGGTATGACCGATGTATTAGTATTTAAAAGTCAGAGTTATATTTTTTGATATCTAAATAGTAGGTCTTGCTCGGCCGATATGGCTCAGTGGTTGAGCACCGAACTATGAACCAAGAAGTCACTGGTTCAATTCCTAGTCAGGGCATATGCCCAGGTTCGATCCCCTATTGGGGGCGTGTAGGAGGCAGCCAATAGATGATGTTTCTCTCTCATCGATGTTTCTATCTCTCTATCCCTCTTCCTTCCTCTCTCTAAAAATCAATTTAAAAAATTTAACTATTAGGTCTTATGATTTCTTCTTCTCAGGGCTTATTGATATGGAAAAGCTCAAATGCTGATGCTAGTATAGTACAATAAATACAATTTTCTGTCTTTTCAACATTTCCCTTATCCACTGGTACTGGACCTTAACTTGCTTGTTAAAACTACAGTTTATTTTTCTTTTTATTAACTTATTCTTCTCACTGTATCCCACGAAATGCTCTAGGCCTTTAATTTGCCTTTGTCCCCTAGCAGTGGGACATGCCCATTTCCACCAAAGCTGCCTACCTCTTTTGCTTTTAAGCACTCAAATTATTCTTTCTGTGCTTCACAACACAAACATATTTTTAGACTATGTTTTTGAAAATGTATGATCATACATTTTAAGAGAATTGTTTATTGCTCTAAGCAGAAGTGCCCTCCAAGTATAGCCTATCTCTTAAACAGGTTCTCTTTTGTTTAAAATTTACATTTAGAATACAGTGTTCTACTGATAACTTACTCAGACTATAATTTTAGATGAGTTTAGGGTAATGTTTTTGGTATCTAATTTGTATTGTATTATGTGGTCTTATAAAACCTACATGAATTATTTGCTGATATCTTAAATCAGCTTTCACTTATTGCTTAAGTTTTAAATGCTTAATTATTTAACTTCCAGTGGACATCATTTCCATAAGGCATGACTTTAACACTTTCAGGGGCCCACTTGTCATCTGTTTAAAATTTTTTTCCATTGCTTTTTTACTAAAGATGACTACATAGTTTTGAATGAATTGACTGTACCCAGTTGTCTCTGTGAAGCATGTACTTTGTGAAGTTCACTAATGACTACATGGGCACTTCAAGCAAGACCAACATTATTCCTTAATCTGATTTTAAAGGTATATGCTGTATGTTATTGCATATACCATGGGGGTCTTGCTAGGTTTGAGAATTAGGTCTTATGTCACAGCCTAAATGTTTTTCGAATACAACACAGCAAAACCTGTCATCCATTCTTTTGCATTTAGTTATGTTTAAGCTCAGATTTTTAAAATGTGTTTGGGTCACTGTTAAAACTAATTTTTTTATGTGACTATTTAAAATAAAACCTTTTTCAACTGAGAATATGCTTGGACATTTTCAACTGCTGATGAGAACATCTTCTAATGGTATTTTGGAAAGTAACTCAAGTGCCATTTTTTTTAATACTCACCCAAGGATATTTTTTCATTGATTTTTAGAGAGTGGAAGGGAGAGGGAGAGACAGAGAGAAAAACATAGATGTGAGAGAGATACATTGATTGGTTGCCTCCTACACGTGCCCCGACCAGGGCCAGTGATGGAGACTGCAACTGAGGTATGTACCCTTGACTGGAATCAAACCCGGGAGTATTCAGTCTATGGGCTAATGCTCTAACTATTGAGCAACCCAGCTAGGGCTCAAGTGCCATTTAAAAAAAAATACATTTGTATTTATTTCTGAGAGGGAGAGAGAGAAACATCAATAATGAGAGAGAATCATTGATCGCCTGCCTCCTGCACACCCCCACTAGGGATCAAACCTGCAAGCCCTGACCTCCTGGTTCATATGTCGATGCTCAACCACTGAGACACACCAGCCGGGCTCAAATGCCATTTTTTTTAACTTGCCTCTACAAATCTGATTTTAATTCACCACTAAAAATTAGTAAGCTCAATACTATAATCCTAAGACAGACTGTATTTTTTAAAAAAACTACAATTTTATAAATTGATCAGATTTCATGTGTTTATTAAAAGACAGTCTGAATATAGTTGTAGTGCATAAAAACACTGCCCAGGCATTTTTCATACTCATTTTGTCATTGACTGTCATTTTTAAAAATATATATATTTTATTGATTTTTTACAGAGAGGAAGGGTGAGGGATAGAGAGTTAGAAATATCGATGAGAGAGAAACATCGATCAGCTGCCTCCTGCACACTCCCTACTGGGGATGTGCCCGCAACCAAGGTACATGCCCTTGACCAGAATCGAACCCGGGACCCTTGAGTCTGCAGGCCGACGCTCTATCCACTGAGCCAAACCAGTTAGGGCCATTGACTGTCATCTTACTCATCTAACAATTCAAACTTCTAAAAGGACAACAATTAAAGTTGACTAATTTTTTACTGTTATAAACTCCTAAAAATAATTATAAGCAAGTCTTTTAATCTGAGGTTTGCTCCCTTTCCAGATATTTCATTATATCTTAGAATAGGTAGAACCTAGTTGATAAATATCCCAGTTTGTTTCCATCAGGAGCCCAGCCAGAGAAAGAGACCCCCACTTCCAGTCTCTGGTAAAGACAGTGGCGTGGAATGTTGCTTTTGCTTTGGGCTGGGCTCTGAGCTGAGAAGGGACTGATTGTAGCAGGAATAAAAGAATAGGATTCACATTATAATCAGTTTTGCAGAGCAGCTGAGCACTGTGAATAGTTATAATTTACTAGTCTGAATATTAAATTCTGTTGTTGCAGACAAGAGGAAGAGTGGAGTGAGTTCTTGGATGTTGGTCCAGTAAAGTGATGGACTTTTTGATTCACAGATGATGGTGACATCACCACAGGACTGTATATGGGCCAATTATATAGAATTTCACAACTTTTCTTTTTATAGAGTAAAGAGAAACTCCTTAAAAGGCTCTCTGACCATCCTCCTTGCCTTGAGGAAGAACCATATAAACAGTGCAAAATGGCATGCCCTTTATTCCAGTGGCCAAATAATTTGCTTTAGGCCAACTCCACCAGATACCTCATTAATTTTATTCTTACCTGTTATATCTTGACGTAAGTGACGACTCTGTGGGTTTCATTCCCATCTTTTCCCCTTGCTTATTTGATTCTCAATGATATATGCAGTTCTTGTGGACAGTATTACTCCCGGGGCCTTTAATCTGATACCGTGACTAGAATGCCTGCTTGAAGGGGTTGCATGAACATAATAAAGGACCACACATGTTTTTTGTCATCACTCCTAAAAGGCCCTCTGACTAGACTAATTGTTAGCAAGTCTTCTCAATGTGTTTCTGTGATGTGGCAGTTGGAATTATTTAATCTAGGCGTGCCATTTTGTTGGTTTCATGTTTCAACAAAAAATAGAACACAACACATGCTGGATTTACATTCTTGGGCAGTGGGCGAGATGTTCTCCTTCATCTTCCTACTCTGAGATGCTTATGAAATGTTCACCAATAGGTTAGAAGAACTTCTTGATGCCCTGGGTGGTGTTATTCAGTGGGTTGGCACGTCGTCCCATGCACCAAGGAGTTGCCAATTCCATTCCCTGTCAGGGCACACATGCCTGAGTTTCAGGCTCCATCCCTGGTAGGGGGGCGTTCAGTAGGCAACCAATCGATGTTTCTCTCATTGATGTTTTTTTTTTCTCTCTCTCTCTCCCTCTCCCTTCTTCTCTCTCTGAAAATCAATAAAGAAATATTTTTTTTAAAAAAAGGACTTCTTGGTGTTTGGAATTAAATACACAAAATTTGAATTCTTGTTCCTCTTTTGACCAAGCAAGTGTGTGTGGGGTTGAATTTCTTATAACTTTCCTTGTACTGTGTCCTCTTACAGGATGGGTCAAACCTCAGTGCGAGTCAGAGGGCCTATGCACCTGAGCAGCTGCAGAAACAAGACAATTTAACCATTGACACCCAATACTACCTGGCCCAGCAGATCCACCCAGTTGTGGCTCGGATCTGTGAGCCGATAGACGGAATTGATGCTGTCCTCATAGCAACATGGCTAGGTAAGTGCCCCGAGTTCACATAGCCCCTCACCCAGCATTAGCAACACTCTCCGCCTTCCCTCCTTCAACTGTTGTGTGCCTTTTTATAGGCCCAGTGCTGAGTCAAGCACTTCTTTGTTTAAAATTGGGCATTTATTCTTGTGGTGGTTTGGTTAATGTCTGTCACTGCTCATAGACTACGAACTCCACATAGTAACCACATGCCTGCTCCATAGTTGGCACTCAGTAAATGCTGATGGGAGAGAGAAGGCAATAGAAAGGATGGAGATGATTTTGGGCACCATTATAAGTCTCTGAGTTAATACTGTTGTAGCTTTTATTAGTGACTTTAAATTACTATGGAGATTGATGGTATCTTGATTGATTGTCTCTAAAGGTGATGCATGGGAGATGCTGCACATAGCCCAGGAGCAGAGGGAGTGCTTAGTGAGTACTGTTAGCAGCCACATCCCACCCTCCTGCCAGGCTCCTGCATAAATATATCAAACTCTTCCAGTCCTTGAGATTTGCACATAGTTAGTGCTCAGTGTGCATTGTAGACTGAGATTAGACAGATGAATTATCAAGTCACATATTCTCCATCCTGCTCCTGCTGAGTATGTGTCTGAGCTCTTCCCGCAAGTCCCGTTTCCACTATCCCATCAGTATCTGCTCTGGAAGTGGAAGCTCATTTTTGACATTTGCCTAAGCAAAACATAATTAGGAAGATAAAAATTCTGCTACCCGAATCATCATATAATGTATTCTCAAAGTTGAGTTGTATTTGATGATATTTATAAATCCTCAGCTGGGAGGTGGGAGCATGAGTGCACAATATTTTTTAGCTTCCTTTTTTTCTCGCCTCTGTGTTCAGTGCTTACTTTACCGGATGCTGTGATAAATACTTTGCATATATTTATCATTTAATTTTTGCAGCAGCCTCATGTGCCTACATTGTATTTGTTCCATTTTACAGAGAAGGAAGCCGAAGCTTAGAGGAGTAAGTAACTTGGTCTTGTCACATAGCTAGCAGTGACTGAATTGGGACCCATCTCTGTATGACTCCAAAGCTTGTACTCTTAACCACTGTGCTAAATTGTACTGCCCCCTCGTAGCTCTGAGAGGTGATGACATATGTTTCAACCAGGAGTGGGATAGCGTGGATGTGAAGGCTCAGGAGCTTTATCTTCTCCCTCCTCTCCCCACTGTAAGCCCCACCCCTCCCCACTGGAAACCCCTGAGCAAAACCATTATTTTGTTTAGAGTACATCTCCCAGCTTTCCCATTTGTAAGATCAAGAACCTGATCTGAATGCTAACCATTACCCTTTCCTTTTTTGGTTTTGGATTTTCCAGTGCTGAGGAGGGGTAAATGGAACAAGCCCCGCCCCATGAGTGATATTTACCAGATAAGTGTGGAGCCTTGTATTGAAGCAAAAGAGCTGTAGAATAAAGAGTGGTGGGGCCTGCCCAGAGGATAGCCTGTTGCCAGCTCAGCTTAAGAGCAAGTGGGGACCAGACTGATTTTGTTGGTTTTGGGGTCATATTTAAGATCTTTTGTTTGTTTGTTTTGTTAATTCTCACCCGAGTATATTTTTTCCATTGGTTTTTAGGGCGAGTGGAAGGGAGGGAGAAGGGGGGAAAGAGAGAAAGAGAAACATCTGTGTGAGAGCGACACATCCTTTGGTTGCCTCCTGCACATGCCCCAACTGGGGCCAGGTATCAAACCTGCAACCCAGGTACATGCCGTTGACTGGGAATCAACCCGAGACTTTTCTGTGCATGGTCCGAAGCTCTGACATTGAGCCATGCCTGCCAGGGCTAAAGATGGATTTTATATAAATTAAGCAGTAGGCAGAGCTTGACTTGCTTAAAGCCAGACTTTATCCTAATTACTGGTCATAGGCTCCCTTATGAATCTAGTTTTCACAAATGATTCCGATAGTCCTGGTAGGTCCCATCTTCAGAGGTTTCATGTTATTACTGACAGATCTCAGTCTGCAGAGGGAACCCTCCATGCTTGTGCATAGTCCATGGTCCTGCCATGTCCCAGTCTCTCCTATCTCATCACCTGCAAGTTCTCAGTGCAGCCCTGACTGGACACTGTTCTGGGCAGCTCCTTCTTGGTGCCAGGTCGCCAATTAGAGGTGCCAGAAGGGCCTGTGTCCTCGGCCCTAAGGAATTGATGCTGACCCCCCCCCCATCTTTTTCTCATTTTTGTCTTCTGCCACTTGATAGCAGTTTTTATACTGAGGGCAAATGAGCATGTCATTATTTCGCAGTCCCCTTCCTCCCCTGCTCATCCTCTTCTCCCACCGCCATCACCAGCGGTATCCATATCTCTATCTACTAGAGTAATAAATCTCATAGTCCTTTATCTCTCCCTGTCTCCTCATAGGAGGTACCACATTAATGGAGTTCAGGACAGTATGTGCCAGGCACTATGAAGATCTGTAAAAAGCACTGGAGCTCGCCAGGCATATATTGCATGTATTTGCGCCCTGCCCTATTCAGGAGCTGCACTTTGATCTGCATCCTTTATTCCTCTACCCCAAGTGAAAAATTAGGGTGGCTGTCCTTCATTAGGGAATTTGAGGCCCCTGTTATCAGTTCTCACTTAGCCTGTGGTTTTAGAGAGGAGGAGGGTGGAGATGGGGAAGTGGTGGTAAAGTAAGGGGAGTGTTAGGGGGTGCGTAGTTTCTAAGAGGTGCAAGCTGTAGGCATAAAATTACTATAATTTGTTTTTAAAATTCTAAATCTGTTTTCTTTATGTAAAAAAACTGCAGTTAGTGAACTGACACTGTTAAATAAGTTGAAGTGTAAAAATGTATACATAGAATACAAGCCCTCCAACTGCCTAATCACAGACATAAAATAATTCTCTTGCTTTTAATGTAGTTTTTATCTTTGATTAATGAAATGTATTATAGTGTTGAAACTTTACTGAAGTTTGATACTTTGTCCTTTTAGTTGATACAAAGAAATCAAGAATAATGGCATAATTTCATTTAGGAAAATTATTAAGTTCATGATTTTTTATTTTTAAGATTCTTTTGTGGAGAACAACTATATTTTTCAACCACCTTTTCCTTTTTCTATTGCTTTTATACTGCTTTCCTTGAAATGAAAGGCAAGCATCAAGTGTTGGTTTTATCCCGTGGATTCCCTTTGGAAATTCTCTATTTCTCCCCATCAAGACACCTCCTGAAGTCTGTCTGGTGGCATGTTGCATGGCCAGGTGTTCTGTATGGGAAGGACATTTTAGTGAAAAGGAGAGAGGGTAGTCTATTAAATGAGTGAATGAATAAGTCTGTTGAATTGAAAGAGAATGATTTATTCTCTCTAATAACTAATGGTCCTTATTATCCCACAGTAAAATGTGTATCATTTTTCTGAAATCCATGCAAGATTATTGCCATTGGGCTTAAATAAAGCAAAATTTTACTCTTTTCCATCTGTGAATAGAAAAAAATATAGTATTACGCTTTTATACAATAGCCCTTTGGGAAACATGGCCACTAAAACTTGGAACTCTTAGCTTTTGTTCTCCAGACTATAGGTTTTTCTCTCTCTTGTTCTAATGAAAGCTCTTTATATTCTGTGGATGAAATATTCACAGTATGCGCCAACATCCATATAGTCTTCTGTACCTGGCAAAACAAGCCAGTGATGAGAGTAGTCTTAAAGTTCATTCTTGCCCAGCTGGTGTCGCTCAGTGGTTGAGCATAAACCTGTGAGCCAGGAGATCACAGTTTCATTACCCATCAGGGCACACGCCCAGGTTGCGAGCTCGATCCCCAGTAATGGATGTGCAGGAGGCAGCCAATCAATGATTCTCATCATTGATGTTTCTTTTTTTTTAAAAAAAATACTTTTATTTATTTGAGAGAGGAAGAAAGAAATTTAAACATCAGTGATGAGAGAAAATCATTGACCTCCTGGTTCATAGGTTGACGCTCAACCACTGAGCCAAACCAGCCGAGCCTTTGATGTTTCTATCTCTCTTCTTTTCTGAAATCTATAAATATATATATACTAGTAGCCTGGTGCATGGATTCGTGCACACTGAAAGGAAATTAATTAGAAGGAATATTTTAATATAACTATTCACCCTTTAGAAGTGTCAGAGATGAAAGAAAATTAGTAAAATGTATATGAAAATAATATATAAATTGATTAATAAATAAAAAGAAAAAAGGAAACAAATGTACTACTCTTTGTAATACTTTAAGCAATTAAATAAATAAATAAAATAAATAAATAAACAATAACAACAAAGGTATAAAAACAACAAAAACGTGATATGAAAACAACATTGATAAAAACAATGACTGATAAATTGATTAAACTTATTCTGATATCTCCCTGTATACCACATTAAGAGTAAAAACGCTTTCAGAGTGCTTGACTAATTTCCCTTGTGATGAAGTATTTACAACTTTAACTTTAACATCACACGCTCTTTGAACTCGAGAGAAAGCAACATATAACTGACCATGTCCGAAAACGGGTTCAGGTAGGAATATTCCTACTCTGTCTAGAGTTTGTCCTTGTGATTTATTAATAGTCATCGCAAATGCTGGCATCATGGGAAACTGTTTTCAAATTAATTTAAATGGGAGGCCAGTGTCAAACGGGGACAAATATCATGTATGTGTGAGTCAATGTTTATTTTTAAATTGCCAGTGCCTGTCATATGAACCGACTGGTCGGACATACATACGGTCGGTCACTTAGCCTTTTATATATACAGATAGATTTTAAAAGTTCATTCTTGAATTTCATCTTTTAATAAATTTATACAGTCAAACCTCGGTTCTCAAATGTCTCCCATCTCGAACAATTTGGTTCTCAACCAAGTTGTTCACAGAAAAAATGTCTTGGTTGTTGAACCAAAATTGTGGTTTTCGTCCTGACAACCCTTTCATGCTGATACCTAGCTCCTCTCAGGCAACAAACAATGGAGAAAATGCTTTCGTTGCTGGCAAAATCAAGGGTTAGCACAATTTTAAAACATAAAGA